AAGCAGTGGTATCAACGCAGAGTACTAATGTACTGAACATCTAACACAACAGTGCTAAGCATGTTGCTGATAAGAATAAATGATGTGTTGAAGTCATGAAATTTTCGACGGTCCACAGGTCGAAATTTGAGGTTTACCGAAAAATTCGGCTTTTCAAAAACTCATTTGTTCTCATCAGCAACATGCTTAGCACTGTTGTATTAGGTGTTTAGTACAACTTTGGAAGGTCTTCGTTAACTTCGGAGAAAGAAAAATGACTTCGAAGAAAAGCGCCGGGGATCATCAGAGATCATTTTTAAAAGTTGGAGAATGCAGTTCGTACAGCTTCTCGCTCCTGTTCAACATGTTCATAGTGAAGAGTAGTAGGAATACTTACGGATAGGTACACAACGTGAAATCCAGGTATCTGGAGTTTCGAAATATAAAGCTTTCTTTTGAGCTGCGATATCCTCCCTAGCGGGGAGGTTAGTGCATGCGGCCCTAAGAGGTGTGAGGTCCCGATGGGCGGTGCTTGGATTTTTTTATACTCGCCTTGTGAGGTCCCGATGGGCTGATCAAGCGGCGGGGCCAATAGCGCAATGTTGGTGTTTAGCGCTTTTCCTACAGATGGTGCAACTACCTTGCGAGTCCCTCGCGTGACGTTCGTGTACTTTATTTTGCACACTTAAAGGCAGTGTCCGGGCACGAGATCGGTTTTGGGATTTGAGTGCCAGGCGAGAGTGTCCCCCCTCAGACACAACATCGCACAAGTGCGACGTCATAACGCTCGACCTAAAGCAAGAAAAACGACCAGAAAGTGGGGAAACTTACGCCTTGGGGCGGGGCCCTCCGAGCTGTCCGAATTGCTGCTATGCGGCAGAGTATGCCGCCACAGTTAAAGTGTTGTGTCCCGCAGCGACTCTGCGTCTCTGCCTTGGTGGGGACCGTCAAATTTCAAATTGTGCGGCTTCGGAAAACGTATGTTCTCGCCGTTTTCGCGCCTTCTAATGTGGATTTTCGGATTCAGCGTTGCGGATAACTCCTGGGAAGTGGATTTTCTAAAAATCGAGTTTTTCCCCGGACACTGCCTTTAAATTGGGCTCATCGATCAGAAGGGCATACGCGGCCCTCGCCTTGCGCACGCAAATAGGACATTGCATAGTCCCTGATATGTTTTTTATCAGTTTGTTTTCAAAATCCCTAAATCAAGAAGAAAGTTTTGGTATGGGTGTGTCATCGCATGAGGGACAAGTCGCAATCGCGGACGTTGTCGGCTGCTCTGTTGTAGAGCGCTCTTATGGCGCACGCTATACTTGATCCACTTGATCTGCTTGAACCTTGATCCACTTTGCTTTTGGTCAGGTCAGTGAACTGAACAGTAGCGAAGCGAATGTCCACCTAATACTTGATCCACTTCATCAACTTCGCTATTAGTGCGTTCATGATCTGACCAATCGCGAATTGGGAGTGGATCAAATACGGCTTGTGCCTGTATCTCCTCCCGTTTGTTCCTAAGACGAGCTGTGTACACCGGATGCAACTGCATCCATCCCTGCGTACGATGCCTCCTCTATGAAAACAAAGCCAGCAGTTTTCAATGCACTGTAGTAATACAAAAAATAGTAGGGATCAGATTTCATTTAATGTCTTGTATCTGATTCAACCATACAAAATCGATTTTTTCATTTTTTGATCATCTCATCCTGTAATAGGCAGTAAATGCGAAAAGGACAACGCAAGATTATCAAAAAACCGTGTTTGAAGAAAAGATTACTCATCTGAAGCAGAACCATGATGCACTTATCGCAAAGAACGATGCGCTGGCCGCTGAACTCGAGCGGATGAAGTTTGTCTTGGCAATTTGCTTTCCAACTCTGCATCCTCAACACTTATTTCTAAGGAATGAACTGCGTGATTCAAATCATCGCAATGCGTTGCTGGTGCAAAAGTTGGGTGACGCTGAGCGAAGATGCGAGGATGGAAATCAGTCAAAAAGAATGCTCACTCAGCAGATTGCCGCTTTCCAACGGGCTGAAGGAGAATTGAGTAAGCTAGAGCGGGAGATGAGGGACGAACTGGTTATGCTTCGTAGGGGTAGGTTGTTCAAGAAATTTGGACCATTTTTATAGTCTGTGTCAATGATGTGCACCTTTATCGATCAGCTTACGCGCAACGCTAGAGCCCCGCGACGCGCGTTCATTCGCCACTATCGCAGTTCGTTGCGTAATGTCCACGCGCTGCGGATGCGTATTTGCGCCGAAGAAGGGGATCACTTGAGTTGACATAGATCGTAGTACTGTTTACTAAACAGCCTGTATGCGAGCTTCAGGAAGCGCCGCGGCTCTTTTTGTCTCGATTCGCAGAGGCAGCACATGGTATATCCGATAGCTGTTACGAATTACACAGATTCTCAACGCTGCCGCACTTGCGCGCATATACTGGCCGTCAACATTGTGCGCTTCATTGGCAATTTTCACGCGTAGGTGTTGTTCACCGCAGCTGCACTATGTTACCCGTCGAATCTTTCCAGACTATGTCCTTTGTATTTGAATAGAAGGGTTGTCAGATAAAGCGATTAGCTACTGATATTTCAAAATATTGAATTAAGAAAGATTGGTGCTGACAAATGAAGTGGAAAAGCTGAAACGGAAGCTTGTTAGAGTAGAGGTCGAAAAGAAAGAGTTGGACGGTTTTCGTGCACGATTAAATCGAGAAGTGGCGTCTCTGAAGAAACATGTTGAGGCTGTAAGTTTACTGCATCTGATATTTTCTTCAAATATCATTATACCTTGTGATGGATCACTTTTAGCTGGAGGAAGAAAAAACACGCACCGAAATAGCTGTTCGTAACACACTGAGCGAAAGAAAAGCCATCGACAAATCGCTCGCAGCCATGAAAAAGGAAAATACAGAACTGTACAGAAATTGCGCCCAACTGCAATCTCAGGTTTGAAAATTTTGCAGTCAATCACCTAAAAGTTAATCTTTTTCCCAGATTGCCCAGCTAGAAAGAGATACCGGTAATCGGAATATGACTAAATTAATGAAGGAACAAACTGAATTGGAATCTAGAATCTCAAAGCTTTCTGTAGAAAAAAGACAGGTTAGCTTTGCACATTTGTAGTGTTTTTAACTCCATTATTTTTATTTTTTGCCAGTGATTTTTCTGTTTTCTGTGATCATAATTTTTTGCGCGTAACCACTTTTCTGTCATAGTCTAACTTTCTTTCTTCTTGAGTTTACTATGCTTGAATTTTATCATTTATTGTTCTTCGAATTAGCTATCCAACAATAAGTAAGTCTGTACCTTAGACAACCCCTGCTAATGTATGTAGTTGCACAATTTTCAGGTTAGGGTTCTGTGGGAACTAAAATGGATCTTTCTGCTTTCTCTAAGTTTTCCTCGTTGTTCGGGCAGATGAAGGGCCGAGCTAGGCCAAACTGCCTTTGGAAAATGTATTGCACACATTAACTAAGAGATCTACTGGATTGTGAAACCATGTGGTCATATCACTGTTAGTGCACATTTCAACACCTCCAATTTGCGGTTCGACGCGTTTCTGGTAGAAAACGTGGACAGACACGCAGAGGTCAAACCGCGCCGCGCATGGCCGCAAAATTTTCATTTTATGCGTCCTCATCCCCTCTATCGCCAACTGCGCCTCTCCTCAGACGTGATCTTCTTAAAATGAACTTGCAATGTAATATGGAATGGAAGCTAAGTTCGATCATAATACCTTTGTTATGATGCCTTGTTCTCACATGTTCTCCAAAAAAATCTTCTCTGTAATTCCCCTTTGTGGGACAGATTCATAACGATGGAATGCTTGATGATGGTTGTGTGATGGCTGTTAACCGTTCTTGATTTCCTCAGTTTTAGCTTGAAATGGTCATTGAACAAAAGGAGCAGACCTTTACGCACAAACGGAAGATGTTGGAATCGCAGCTGGCGCTTCTGCGGGAGCAGCTGGACGTCGAGAGAAAACGTCGACTTAAACTGCAGCATCGTGGACGATCCGAACCAGCGGAGCGACAGTATAGTCGAGCGGCGGATTTCCGCATGAGCAGAAAAACGCTACAGCGGCAGAAAAGCCCGTTTCGGGTATGAACGCTTTGCTGATTTAGCGCGAGCCGAGACTCGATGGAATCCCGGTTTCTGCTCAAATCCCCTGTGTTGGGACTTGCTTTCGCTTCTGAACTCGCTTCACTTGGTTTGACCCCGTTTTTCTAGTTCTACCCGTATGTGATCCCCTCTACTAGTCACTCCTACCGGCTACATACCACCTGTTGAGTGTGCCTTTATAGGCGTGTCAATTTACGTAATACTAGTTCTGTTATTTAGCTGTTTGCTAATGCTTACTGAGTCTTTCGTTCATTTGCTGATCTCTTCACAAAGCTTTGCCATGATTTTTCTGCCATTTTTTTGCATTTATAGAGCCAATATCAAAGTCCAAATCTTTCTTGTACACTGCGTTTAGGAGAGTTCTATGGTTTTTGAATGAATATGATTACTGACCATTTTGTTCTTGTTCCAACAAAAATGTCTCCAGTCTGCGTGCCTACTTGGTCTTGTCCTGTTCAGTTCTGCATGTCTTTTGTTTGCCTTAACCTCAGTTTTGTCCAACTTCTCTGTCTCTTTTTGAACTTCCGAATGTCACATCCAAGATAGGGCGCACATAGTTGGAGCAAAAGTGCTATGACAAAATTTGCACAATAACTACTTTTTCCGAGCTCAATAGTGGCGCTGTACAATGGGTCTAGCGAGGCCAGCGCCGCGTAGTGCAGTCACACACCTTCGCGCGGGCGCTACCGTACGCAGCGTGCGAGGACCATGCCGCGCAAAGCGGCGTAGTCCTTGTTTTAGCTACTCTTCCTGATTCTTTCTTAGCTTACTCTGTCTTGCTTCCAAATTTCTAGCTTCCCCTGTCTGAAACTCTACTTCAGTACTTCCTGAGATCTCTAAAAGTATTACTGCTCGAATGGAAGACAAAATGGAGGTTCGAGGTCTTTTGTGCTGGAGTTCAGTGGATTTGTGTTTTTCACCGTGCTTGTAGCAGCGAATTGTTAAACACGGTTGGATTAATTGCTTTATTCCTAAGCCGGGCTCTTCGGCAAAACTTCGACAAACACTACGACGCCGAGTTCTCCGGCTCACAACTCAATTACAATTGGCGTTCCAAAAGGGAGGAGCCAGAATTGTAGGTATTCGGGAGGCTGCCAGCTAGCAGTTTCCTTTGTTGAATGCAAATCGCAAACAAGGCAAAAACACTGTTTTGCGAACTGGGTCGGAAACGTACAAAACATTAGTAAAGGATCATCGGGTAACACATTACGGACCGTAATTTACGGTAGCGTCGGCTACGGCATCTTTCAAAGATTTAATGTAATCATTTCATCTGAGAACGACCGGTTCTCTCTCTCCTTTCAGCTAAAGGTGAATATCGTAAGGTGTGATCGTATATCGTGTAGGTTAAGAGAACAATTCAAGTAAGCAGCACGTTGGCGCAGTTCATTCAAGCCGAAGTAATATACGATTATGTCCGTTGAAACACGAGGCGATATAATGGATCACGGCATTTGGAAACAGCCATCCGAAGAAGCCTGGAAGACAATTCGCTGCTAAACGAAAACTACGAATACAACGATAAAGGATCCGCATGCTGTGCGCAGCATAGTCCCTGCACGCTGCGCGTACGGTAGCGCTCGCGCGTATATGTGTGACTGCACTACGCGGCGCTGGCCCCGTTAGGCGCATTGTACATTTTAGTATATTCTTTGCTCAATATAGAATTGCGCGTGAACAAATAAATGCGCTTGTAATGCCGACCGCTTGCGCGCGCAAGATACCGGCATTACTGGCGTGGCTATTTGTTCACACTCCAGTTTTACTGCGAGATCTTGGCACCACAAGCACACTACTTCGAGCGGAGAATGTACTCGGCTGTATCTACTATTAAAAAAGCCCGCTCTAATATTTTAGGGCCTTTTAATGACTGCAAAGGCAGTGTCCGTGCAGACTTGGGAGCACCTCATTCCCAACGCATTACTGAAGCGAGCCATAGCCCGATTGCTACTGCAAAGTATGGCTTCTAAAGCGGAAAAATTGCTTCAGAAGTTTGAACATAGCCGCCCCTTGATTCAGTTTCGTCTTCACAAAGCAGGAAATCATGGCAACGGCCATGTCACGGTACGATTTCCTGCTTTTGTGGGAACGAGGTGGAATCAAACCGCGGGTACGTCCGAACTTCTGGAGCGCCAATGTGTTGCAAAGTTCTATGGTTTGCATCGGGAGCCCGCTACAGTTATCTTTTAAAACTGAGGTGTCCGATTACATTTACCATAATCGTACACCTGTACCAATTTAGGCAGTTTTTCGCAAACTTAATTTTTTGTTGAACATGAAAATTTCTCCTGACTCAAAGAAATTACTTCCACTATTTTGTTACTGGTGATAAGCAGTGCGAAAAAACTCTTTTAGCATTAAAGATCTTTTGTAAAATTTTGTGAGCGTTTGTAAGTAAGACATTGTCGACAAATCTAACGTATAAAGTCTAGCAGAAGCAGTTCCATACAATTCTACAGCCCTTCGCTACTTGATATCCTTTTCACATAGAACATCTATAGGGTTTTACATAACTATCGCGATTTTAGGGCAGTGTACTGTTGACTTCACTTGCTGTTGCAGTGCTTACATCTTTTTCAGTTACGGTAAAAATGCAGCACTCTCAGATTTATCTGTCAATAGTCCGCCGTTTGAACTTTTAAGTTTTCAAGCTAGTGCCGTCGCGTTTTTGCTTCGATTATAGTCGCCATATATGTTAGAGAGCTTTCTGAGAGCTTGCAAAAGTCCGTTTTCACTTTCACTGAGCGTCAGTAGTCGAGCACTGTAAAGAGTAGTCCAGGACGAAGGCAGATGTCGAGGAAAGCGCTTGCGAACGCGGTGCAAGCGGCTGTCAGCGAGGAGCTCGACCGCCGCGTTCTTCCGTGTTCGGAAGCTCCATTCGCCTTCATTCGGAACTAGTTTTTACCTCACACTGCAGCGTTTGCCGACGAGTCTCTGATGTCAGCACGTTTCAGGTTCATCGTGCGTTCTCTTGCGAGATGTACCAACGCTCGTATCGGTACGAGGCGTCACTTTCTTCGATCTCAACCTGCTCGTACCTCACGATGACACCTCGACTAGTGTAGAGACCACCACGATCGTGTAAGGGGGTGCTTACAACGATTCTAGCCTCCCCCAGCTGTGCAATCATCAGTCCGGAACTAGTCATTTTCTCTTCATTTGTAGTTGTTTACACACTTGTATCTGATGTGCATTTCGTTTGTTGTGTGAACCCCACCCTGTAGAGCTCATTTTTCGTTTGAGAATACTGCAAATAGGCTTGCATGGTGCATACATACGTGTGATTATATAGTGATAATCTGAACTCTTTCTCCCCCAAATTGCACACTGCTTTCGACCTCGAGTGCATCGTTAATTACTGCCCAATTCTGCATAGTCATTTGAGGTAAAACTTCTATTAGAGAACTACACAATAAAAACACGGTTACAATTATCTCCATGCATCTTATTAGATTCAAATAGTGCTTATGGAATAAAAACAATGTCCGCTTATGCTACAGATAGATTATTGTACACTGAGCACATGTTTTTCTACAAGCATGAAATCATCACAGCACAATACTCACTTCTGAATGGAAAAGAACATCTGATCAGCTGCAAACTCGAAGGCTGATTCCAGGAATTGTCCGTTTTAGCCCCGTGCCAGCACCGTACAGGCGCAATGCCGGGACGTCGATGGTTTTTACATAGCAGATGGAGATGGGTTTACACTATACATGCTAGCACGGTGCTAGAACGGCGCTGGCACAGCGCCATCACAAGCGCAACTTTGGGCGTAACCTAAACGACATGTGGTGAAATTCTAAAGAAACTCGTTTGAAGACGATGTCCACGCAAACCTAAATTGAGGAGCTTTGACCGTGCCATGCCCATCCGGCTGCTCATGTGATCCATCTGTAAGATTTTCACTGTTAGACTCTCTCAATTTAGGACTCCCATGCCGTAGTCAAAAACATTGCCTGATCCTCGCGGAAAGACGGTACTCGGCGAAATAGTCTAGAGATTTTTCCTTGTTATGTATAATTTATGATAGCTATTGCTTTGGTATTGGCTCGCTTGGCAACCTAAATAGATTCCGAGTAAAAAGCTCGAGCACTGAGGTTGGGAGGACACTGGCTTTGGGCTTTTTAGGAAGATTCGAGATCGTTCTGCTGAGATTTAAATACGAAAACTTTGAAATTTGAAACACATCGCACATTGTTTCAGAAAGATTGCCGAATAAAAATGGCTCGTGCTCGCACTTAGATTAAGGAAATCATTTGAGTTTCAGTTGGTGCCTGTCTGCTGAGAAGCAGTTTCACACAGTTGCAATCTTTGTGAAGTATCGCTATAGTAATTTCCATATTTCGACCACATTTCCAGCGTGTCACGTTTCTTACTAGATTAGTAGCAATAAAATAACACAAGCTCATAGCAAGGATATAGGAAGCTACAAAAGAAACGAATGCTCGGTTGATTTGCAAAAAGAAATGACGCAGCTGACTGTGCAAATCTGAGGTTCTGATGCTTGCTGCTAGCGTCCTCATTTTCAGGGTGCTGCTCGTGGGCGTAAGCGCAATAAACCATGGATCTGAGGAGAGTCTAGTCTAGAGCAGTTGAGCGTGAAGACCGATGGACGTAGCGTGAAACGATAGTACGATGCGGAGTTCTCGAAAATGTACCAGTACAAAATTACCATGGAAAATGTGCAATTCTTTTATAGAAATTCTTAATTTAAGGTTGTCATTACCACACTACAGATAGCCAAAACAGATTTCAAACTTATGTAGACAACAGTGAGTAAACATCAATAAACGGTTGGAGTATCGTACCATAACATTACCCAAAGGAATGAAACAAGCTATTCAGATGCATGCAGGGTGACCCAAAATAATGTGCAAACTTTTTGATCGTTAACAACTCGCTTGCTTTGATCACTTTAGCCGATCTCTAGATACCGTTCTGTAAAACTGGTTCCACTTGAATACAATATGAAACGATTCTCTTATCTTTTTTCGTTACCGTCACTTATCTCTTATCGTTTTGACGCTTATCTTCGCATTATA